ATAAATCAAAAGAAATCAGACTGTGGAAGCTAAGGAAAAAAGGTTTTGCAGGAGAGAATCATGACTAGTGTCTAATGCCCTCAGAAGACACCCAGTGAATTTGGAAGATGTGCTTTGCATTTGGCAGTTAGGAAAGACATGCTCGGGGATCAGGGTGTTCCCGCCAGGGGAATGCAGAGAGCAAAAGTGATGCCACCACAGTGGCTTAAGAGCAAACAATGGGTGAGGAAGTGGGGAAAAAAAACAGATGAGGAGTTGTTTTTTTTTTTTAACTCAGCAGTGAATGGAAGCCAAAAGCATATTAGGTAGAGTGCGATGAGGAATGAAGAGAGGGAGGATTTGTGTGTGTTAAGGTAGGAGGTATCTAATCCTGTAGAGAGGGCTGTCTAGTTAAATGGAGGAGAGAAGAACAATGTCCCTGAAACTGCAGCATGAGGACACACAAACATGATACTGAACATCCAATAGGAGGTGGCTATCCTATTACTGCAAAGAGAGACAAGGTGGGAAAAATTGGCACAGTCTGAATACATTTGTAAGGGTGAAGGTTTTCAGAGACAAGACATTGGAGAGTTCCTAGCATTTAATATTCTCTTGCCTCTTAAAGGAGGCAGATTCTTCAGTTGAATAAAGATGAACATTAATGGTTGATATGCAGGTGGTATTACACAACTGTAGGCACTTAATTTGACAATCTGCTAACTACGAAGTAAAGTGTCTTTGAACAAATGTCAGTGGTAAGAAGCCATAGCCATGCCACTGTAGAGCCTTAAAGGAAATTCAAAGACTTTCTATTCTGTGTTGTGCGTGAAAACCGTTAAGTTTTATAATCACCTTATGCTTTTATCCATCTTCTTTCCATACATAAAGCAAATTTTCTTTGTATTTAGTATTCATGTGATCATAATTTCCAAAACGACTTCCTTCTAAACTCCTATGGTCAAAGAACTATTATTGGAAAGAGGGAGAGAGAGAAAGAGAATGAGAGTGTGTGTGTGTGTGTGTGTGTATCTCAGTTCTCTTCAGCCAGAGACCATCAAGAACATACCTATAGTTGAACAAGTTGAGTTTATTACTCATTGCAGCAAAGAGAATGCACATTGTATGATGCCATGGGGCATCTCAGTAAGATGGTGTTAGACCTATCATAGAATTTGGGCTTTGGTTGGATAATTTTAGGGAGGATCTGGGGAAGCAAGGACTTGCTCTGTATTGGGTGCTGTTAGAAGAAAGGACAATTCTGTGACTGAGTATCTCATTAAATCTTACTGGGAGCACAGAGTAGATTGAGGAAAAAGCTGTAATTGGTAAAGTCATTCAATGAGTGTGAGAGGAGGATGTCTGGTATCTTGTGGATTGCACAGTGCACTTGTTTTTGTGTCACTTTACCATAGTCTCAGAGTGACTTTATTTGAAACAGATATTGTCTGAGATTATATCCCAGAGAAGAACACAGGTCTGACTGTGAGCATCAGACCAGCTTATAATAATAATGAGATCTAGCTGTTAAAGTCAGATCAATTCTGGACTTCAGATACAGCCTCATTTTTCATATATTAATATTCATATGTACATATTCATGTATATATATACACACATACACATTTATGTCTTAGTTTAACTCTAATTTATAAATGAGATGCTTAGCTTTTCCTTCTTTGGGTGAGTGTAGTTTTAATATGTATTGGCAAAAAATTTAAAAATCCTTTCAGAGTATAATATTTTATCAGGATATCAAAACTCATTACTTGAGGATATACTTTTTCAGCTGTATCAATAGCATAAAATGCACTGCTGTTTGTTATGTTATTGGGGAGTGAGCAGAAAACAAAACATTCTTGCATTGATCCAAGTAGGGAGTAGGTGGTGGTGAGGGCACAGAGGGTGGACATTTTGAGAAATATTTAGAAAAGAGAGTGGACAGAACTTGATGTCAGAATGTAGTATGTAGGGAAGCCAGAAGAGTGAAGGATGATGCCTGGGTTTCTAGCTGAGTAAGTTTCAGTAGGAAGTGATGTTCCTACCAGGATAGGGAAGAAGGGGGAAGTGACCAGTTGGCGGGGGGTGGGGGGGGGGTAACAAATCTTAAACCAGAATTCCTACAGTAGCAAGAATCTGGTTGAGGGGAGGCTGATTGCTTCTAATCAATCTTGTAGGTGCCTACTACCTAACAGAATAATAATTTATTATTTGGTTAACAGCAAGAGCTCTAACTGCCCAAGGAAACAAAATCTTAAATTCTTTTGTCAGCATGTTCTCTCCTGATAGGCAAATCTATGTAAGTGACAAAATTGCCGTCAGGAGATTGTTTGATCAGGGTGGGGACGTAACAAGGGAAGCTAGCCTGGGTATCTTGGTTGCTATGGTTATCAAGGTATGACATCTCTACTGTAGGGTTTTGTGTGCCTACTATATGGAAACACAGGTGTGACCTCAAAACTGTGTTTCGAACCTTTATGCTGAAATGTTGTATGCCAAAGATGCCAAAATGGATATCTGCTGGTTCAAAACTTTACATTTCATAGAACTGATCTACAAGTTTTTAATAGAAACAGTATGAAGGGAGGAGGGGAGAAAAGGAGGGAATTAAAATATGTCTGTAACCACACATAAACAAATTAAAGGACAAACTTCCTTTACCTATTTTCATTTTGATGTCCTGAACCTGTATAAAGAAGCAAAATACAGATTAATTCAAAAGGCAGCTGGCCTCATTGATATGTCAACTGTGCAGGGTTGATCAAGGAAATCTGACATACTAAATTTGCTCTTGTTTTGTTTCTTTTTATCATTGTGTTTTTGCTTTATATTGGGAAAGGCTTTTCCCCAGCTGACTTCTCCCTACCCTTAAAAAAAAAAAATCACTGTCTCTTGCTGAAATTTCCTTTTCTTTCTTCCATCTTAATATTTTGAATCAGAACATACAATTAAATTTTATTTAGAGCTTTTCATTATGAGACTTGTGTTCTCTATAAAATTAAAGCAAAATTGTGTTTATTTTTGCTTGTAAATACGTCCATGTGATGTATAGTTCTATCTTATTAATTTCATATGTGTATTTGAACTACATGCCATTTTCCCAGATGATTATACTGTGAAAAGTCATTTGGATAAACCTACAGAGATGGAAAATCCCTAACTAAGTGGCAGTGGTTATGCTAGCTTTCTGATTACTGGTATGGAAGCAGCAGGAGAGCTGTGGCTGCTTCCCTAGTTTTCTTGGACAGTGGCCTAATTATACAATTATATATATCTTTAAATAGAAGGCTTTACTCCTCTTTTTAGACCCTTCTTACATGCCTGATCTGTTACTGAATTGTTCATGTGCCCTTGGGAGTCTTTAAGTTCTCCATTCATCAGGATCTTAAGAACATCCTGATAATAGTTAAATATGATATTTATATTAATAGGTTTTCCTCAGGCATTGTCTTTCACTGTTTTGGTTATTTTTGTTTTAAGCATGAACAGCCCGTAAGGCTTGTATCATATAATTATTCTATTACGAGTGAGACTGTTACACTGAATATGTGAAAAAATACTGGATTCTTTTTGAGTTAGAAGATATTTTAGAGAAAATCTTAGAGTGTAATCCTCTTGCCCTGTATGCCAAAAGGTGAGAATAAAAGAATTGGGTGACTTCTGAGTTTCCTGAAAGAAAAAGTATGATTTTTAAATATATAATTATGAATTAGGATTTTCAAAATTATAATAATAAAAATCATTACTTTTCAACCTATAATTTTGGGACTTAAAATTAATGAACATTGAGTTGGTAAACCAATCGACAAATAGTATACTTTTTATGTTTTTTTTTTTTTTTTTTTTTTAAGATTTTATTTATTTGACAGAGAAAGACACAGCGAGAGAGGGAACACAAGTAGGGGGAGTGGGAGAGAGAGAAGCAGGCTCCCCGCCGAGCGGGGAGCCCGATGCGGGGCTCGATCCCAGGACCCTGAGATCATGACCTGAGCCGAAGGCAGACGCTTAACGACTGAGCCACCCAGGCGCCCCTACTTTTTATGTTTTAATAAAAATAAGCAGAAGGCTGCATGAATAATGAACACATTTTATTTTCAAAAAGATTTATTTATTTTAGGGAGAGAGAGAGCACACCTGCATGCAAGCATGAGTGGGGGGAGGGGCAGAGGGAGAGGGAGAGAGAGGGAGAGAAGCAGATTCCCCGCTGAGCACAGAGCCCAGCATGGACTACCCCGAGATCATGAACTGAGCCAAAATTAAGAGTCAGTAGCTCAACTGACTGAGCCACCCAGACACATCGTTTTAAACTATTTAACATCCTTTCCCATTTAAGTAGGTATAGAGAAGGTTGTCTTTTTGAATTAATTATTTTAAGTTCACATTCTTTAATTAAGAAATAAAATGCCTGAAGTAAATTTTTTCAGGCTGTCAAAACTCTTCATTTTTGCAGTAATTCATTAATTGAGTAAATGATACTATGACTAAATATATTTTAGACAGCTATGTGAAGATGGAGTAATCATTCTTCAATTAGGACTGAAATTTGTAGTTGGAAGAAGAAAAATAGTTTTATTTCTTTATATGAATATATTGTGATATAATTACTTCTTCCAGAATGGGATTTTTTTTTTAATTAGTTAGTAGATTTTGGAATTAGGAAGTACTCTAGAATTAATCTGATTCAACAGCTTCAATTTACAATGATACTGAGAACCAAAGTGCAGAGGAATTATCCATGGTGACGTATTTGATCAGAATAAAGCCCAAGTCTCTCTTGTTCCATTTGTCTAGTGCTTTTCACGCTGTAATGTGTTATTTTCTCTCTCTCAAAACCAATCTAGATGTTTAAATAGAAAGGGAGGATGGGCAGAATGCCAAAAGAAAAGGATGTGAATCCCCCTTTTCAGTGAACCTGTTAAGTTTAGGAGTTCATTTAATGGGTCTTCAGCATTTGTTCTTAAGATACAGTGCTTCTGTGGTGGGGATAATCATGCTAATTAAACTGATTTTTTGCCTTTTAGGTGAGAGTTACGTGTGTGCATCAAATGAACCATTTCGTAAAGTTGATTACACCAAAAATATTAATCCGAACTGGTCTGTGAACATCAAGGGTGGGACAACCCGAACCTTGGCTGCTCCCTCCTCGGTGAAAAGTGAAGTGAAGGAAAGTAAAGATTTCATCAAACCCAAATTAGTGACTGTGATTCGAAGTGGAGTGAAGCCTAGAAAAGCCGTGCGGATCCTTCTAAATAAGAAGACTGCTCATTCCTTTGAACAGGTGTTGACAGATATCACCGAAGCCATTAAACTGGATTCAGGAGTGGTCAAGAGGCTCTGCACGCTGGATGGAAAGCAGGTAAGAGGGTTCCTAGCCCTCGGCTCTCCATCTCACTGTTAAACTCTCCCTGTATCATGGTGGTTACATATTTGACAGAAAGAATTTCAGAGTTTGCTAGAAATTATTCTCATACTTCTACTTGAGAGGTGTGTGTGTCTGTATTAGCTTTTATCATGAAAAATGTAAGTGGCTTACCTGTGTCTTTGCCCAAACATCTTAAAGGTGTATGTGGAAAAATCTGTATAGCTTATAGTCACTGAAAGGGAAATGTAAACAACTTCGTTTTTGGTTTTTTTTTTTAAGTTTGTATTTAAATTCCAGTTAGCTAACATACAGTGTGCTACTAGTTTCAGGTGTATGGTCTAGTGATTCAACACTTCTATACAACACTCAGTGCTCATCACAACAAGTTCACTCCTTAATCCCCATCTCTTATTTAACCTATCCCCTCACCCACCTCCCCTCTGGTAACCATCAGTTTGTTCTCTGTAGTTAAGAGTCTGTTTTTTGGTTTGCCTCTCTCTCTTTTATTTCCCTTTGCTCGTTTGTTTTGTTTCTTAAATTCCACATATGAGTGAAATCATATGGTACTTTATTTGTCTTTCTCTGACCAGCCTATTTTGCTTAGCATAATACTCTCTAGCTCCAACTATGTTGTTCCAAATGGCAAGATTTCATTCTTTCTTTATGGCTGAGTAATATTTTTGTGTGTGTGTGTGTGTATGTATATACATACATACATACATATGTATGTATATACATACATATACATACATACACACACACAATAATATATATACCACATTTTCTTTATCCATTCATCAGTCAATGGACACTTGGGCTGTTTCATTAATCTGGCTATTGTTGACAATGCGGCTGTAAACATCCGAGTGCATGTATCCCTTTGAATTAGCATTTTTGTATTCTTTGGGTAAATACCTCCTAGTGCAATTGCTGGATCATAGGGTAGTTCTATTTTTAACTTTTGAAGAACCTCCATGTAGTTTTCCACAGTGGCTGCACCAGTTTGCAATCCCACAAACAGTGCAGGAGGGTTCCTTTTAATCCACATCCTCGCCAACACTTGCTGTTTCTTGTGTTTTTAATTTTAACCATTCTGAAGGTGTGAGATGATATCTCATTGTACTTTTGATTTGTATTTCCCTGATGATGACTGATGTTGAGCATCTTTTCATGTGTCTGTTGGCCATCTGTATATCTTCTTTGGAAAATGTCCATTCGTGTCTTCTGCCCATTTTTTAATTGGATTATTTGTTTTTTGGATGTTAGGGAAATGTAGACTTCTGAGGGAAAAGTGTAAGTTGAAGAGGCTTCCTATACTAAATGGGATGTTCTCTAAGAATAAGAACACCTATTGACTAGTAGAGTCATTATGGGTTTGGTAAATCACAGGAACCAAATTAAAGATATTTAACATTTTTAGAAAAGCCTTTCCTCCCCACCTACATATAATATGGAAAATGCATTTCAAAAAAGTACTTTCTTTCATAAGAATGTCCATATGAATTTCATAGGACACAAGGGAGGTAATTAATCAGCATTTCTTGTTTGTTTATTTTTTAAGAAAGAGAGAGAGTGTATGTGTGGGGGCGGATGGGGGGCAGAGGGAGAGGGAGAGAGAATCCCAAGCAGGCTCCACATTCAGCACAGAGGCCGAAGCAGGGCTGGATGTCACGACTCTGAAATCATGACCTGAGCTGAAATCAAGAGTCGGACACTTGACTGTGCCATCCAGGCACCCATTAATCAGCATTTCTGAAAAATATTCACAAATTACACAGGAAAAGGCAAGCCAAATTATGATAATAATATACCAGGAAATCTAATTGGCTAAAGAAGAAAAATCGGGCAAATTTCAAGAATGCATGAATATTGAGTTTTGCCACAATCAGATTATCATTCCTACAGAGAAACATGTAGCTTCTGAGGTGTATTTTTTCCTAATTTCAATAAAGTTAAATTGTTTGTATTTACATTGTGTTAAACGTGATAGTTTCCAGCATTCAATTTGTTTCTTCATTCCATTTTGTTTTTTCCCTATAACACACTTAATTTATTCTGAGGTGTTTAGCTCGAATAGTGCTAAGAATGAAACACTGGAGCAGTGCCTTCTGGAAAAACACGATTAAAGTAGTTTTCTAATTTCCTAACACCAGATCTAGTTAGTTGATTGTTTCCTGAAACATTAACAAGATTTAAAAAATAGGTTCTAGGGGCGCCTGGGTGGCTCAGCCGTTAAGCGTCTGCCTTCGGCTCAGGTCATGATCCCAGGGTCCTGGGATAGAGCCCCGCGTCGGACTCCCTGCTCAGCAGGAAGCCTGCTTCTCCCTCTCCCACTCCCCCTGCTTGTGTTCCTGCTCTTGCTAACTCTCTCTGTGTCAAATAAATAAATAAAATCTTTGAAAATAAAAACATTTAAAAAAAAAAAATAGGTTCTAAAAATTCCAGTAGATCATAGTGATGTTATAATGAACTTTCTGATTAATTAAATTGACGATTAGAAGGCATGACACTTCATAGCAGCCTGCCCAAGATAGGTTCATGTATGAATGGAAATAGACACTTTATAAATTGAGTTAATAGCACAGCACAACACAGAACACCTTAAGATTCGTTCTGCAAGTAAGTAAAAACGAATTAGAGTAAAAGAAAGTTTGATAAGTCAAACAACTAATTCTTGTTTGACACAGGAAGGAAAACCAGAAATACAGAGACAAACATTTAAGACACCTGACGAAAAGAAAATGGAAATCATAAATATGTCAAATTCAGAAACCTGAATGGCATATAAAGCGTAAATGCAGATGAGATTTTAAAAATTGAGACTCAAGATTTGGAATCTCTAAATGAATACTGTTCAAGGAAAATGGAAGTGAAATGCAGAAGTTGAACATCTAATTGAAATGGGCGATCATTGAAATTTTACTAATTATCCAAAAAATTATCTTCAGAAAAACTCCAGACTAGAAATATCAATATGTAAAAATGTTTTTAGAACTAAAGCACAAGCAATGCCAAATTATCCACATATTAAAGAAGACTACACTGCTAAGAGTAGGATTTAATGACAAGAACTAAAGGATGGTTTACTGTTAAGAAACCTGTTTATACATGAGATCTGGAGGATCAAGCATAATGGCACACGGAATCCCAGAAAGGCTACAAAGGCCTTTGACAAAATACAAAGTTGACATTCAGTTAAAGATTTAGTAATAAATGGAGGGTGAATTCTCTAATACACTTCTAAAAAATATAATCTGAAACAAAAATTCTATGTGTTGGCTTGAACAAATACAACACATATTTCTATGATAGTCAGGTATGGGATAATCGCCTGACAGCACCAGTATTCAACATTCTTCTATATATTCTCCCTGATTTTTATTTATAGTTTAATTGCAATTTCAATGAGAATCTAAATGAGATTTTTTTGGGGTGGGGGGAGGAATACCTGACTAAGTGATTTCAAAAGCTAACATGGAAAAAGAGGGAGAAAAATTTTGGAAATAATGATTAATGGGCTCTTAGGCTACCAGATATTAAATCATCATCCTCATACCATTGGAAAAATAAATTCCAGGTGTTTTAAAAATGTAGATGTCAAATAAAATGAACTAAAAGAAAATATGTCAATAGTTAGGTTGAAATGAGAAAGGATTTTCTAAGCATAAAAATTGTGGAAAATCACAAGGGGAAATGTTGGTTGGATGACATAAAATAATAAAAACTTGTAAGTGTCATAAGCAAGGTTTATATCTTTTATATTGAGTTATAGTAGTTTAATATGAAAAAAAATAACACTGTAAGCCAAGATGGATAAAAGATGACACAATTTGAAAAGATAGAATTGTAAATACTAAGTATAAAAAATGTTCAATCTCTAGGGACGCCTGGGTGGCTCAGTCGTTAAGCGTCTGCCTTGGGCTTAGGTCAGGATCCCAGGGTCCTGGGATTGAGCCCCCACATTGGGCTCCCTGCTCAGCGGGAAGCCTGCTTCTGCCTGTCCCATGCCCCCTGCTTGTGTTCCCTCTCTTGCTGTCTCTCTCTGTCTGTCAAATAAATAAAATCTCTTAAAAAAAGAAGTTCAATCTCTAAAAAAATGAATTAAATCAGTGAGATGGTGTTTTTGATATTTAAAATGGACAGGTTTAAAAAAATGTTTATTATTTTTAGATATGCAGTGAATTGACATTTTCAAAGAATGATGGAAGTATAAATTTCATAATCTTTATGGAAAGCAATTTGTTTTATACAACTATACAAATGTTCTTACTATTTGAACTTGTAAACTAACTTCTAGGAATTTATCCAAAATAATCTGAGATGCAAACATAATTATGCATAAGAATTTTCATTTCAGCAATAAGAGCAAAAGATTGAAAACCATTTAAAATCCCTAATGTAGAAAACAGCTAAATGATATTGCCATAGAATATAATAGTGGCCACTGAAAATTATGTTTGGGGGATGTTTAAAGACCTGGGAAAATGTTGAGTGGAAAAAGCAAGAAAAAAACTCTGCAGTATGTTTTCAATTTTGTGTTAAGAAAGAAAAGTAGAGGAAGATTTTTTTTAAACTAATTCAGAAGGAAACACGATTATAGTTGCCATCAGAAATCCAGTTTTCTGATTTCTACTGCTTTCTCATGTCTGCTTAGAAGCAAAAAATCAAGCACTGAGAAGGAAAACAAAGACTGATTTCAATCAGTTGTAAAAATTAAAACATGAGTTAATCCTTGAAATGTTAGCACATGGCAATAAAATGTTACAAGAATCACTTTTGTCACTATTCATGTCTTATAGAACTTACAACATTATTTCCCATGTGCAAAGAAAAGAGATACCTTTAAACTTTCAAATAAAATACTTCTCTGGAAAAATTGTAACTTTTACTTTTGATAGACACAGCTTTGGATGTTATATTTTCAGAGGCCAGGTATCCTTAAGAGCTATAGTTTTCTTGGCACGCTGATAAAACACTGGACTTGCTATTTAAAA